CAGACGAGAACATTGCCCCGGGTCGACCGTATAACAGACGAGAACATTGCCCCGGGTCGACCGTATAACAGACGAGAACATTGCCCCGGGTCGACCGTATAACAGACGAGAACATTGCCCCGGGTCGACCGTATAACAGACGAGAACATTGCCCCGGGTCGACCGTATAACAGACGAGAACATTGCCCCGGGTCGACCGTATAACAGACGAGAACATTGCCCCGGGTCGACCGTATAACAGACGAGAACATTGCCCCGGGTCGACCGTATAACAGACGAGAACATTGCCCCGGGTCGACCGTATAACAGACGAGAACATTGCCCCGGGTCGACCGTATAACAGACGAGAACATTGCCCCGGGTCGACCGTATAACAGACGAGAACATTGCCCCGGGTCGACCGTATAACAGACGAGAACATTGCCCCGGGTCGACCGTATAACAGACGAGAACATTGCCCCGGGTCGACCGTATAACAGACGAGAACATTGCCCCGGGTCGACCGTATAACAGACGAGAACATTGCCCCGGGTCGACCGTATAACAGACGAGAACATTGCCCCGGGTCGACCGTATAACAGACGAGAACATTGCCCCGGGTCGACCGTATAACAGACGAGAACATTGCCCCGGGTCGACCGTATAACAGACGAGAACATTGCCCCGGGTCGACCGTATAACAGACGAGAACATTGCCCCGGGTCGACCGTATAACAGACGAGAACATTGCCCCGGGTCGACCGTATAACAGACGAGAACATTGCCCCGGGTCGACCGTATAACAGACGAGAACATTGCCCCGGGTCGACCGTATAACAGACGAGAACATTGCCCCGGGTCGACCGTATAACAGACGAGAACATTGCCCCGGGTCGACCGTATAACAGACGAGAACATTGCCCCGGGTCGACCGTATAACAGACGAGAACATTGCCCCGGGTCGACCGTATAACAGACGAGAACATTGCCCCGGGTCGACCGTATAACAGACGAGAACATTGCCCCGGGTCGACCGTATAACAGACGAGAACATTGCCCCGGGTCGACCGTATAACAGACGAGAACATTGCCCCGGGTCGACCGTATAACAGACGAGAACATTGCCCCGGGTCGACCGTATAACAGACGAGAACATTGCCCCGGGTCGACCGTATAACAGACGAGAACATTGCCCCGGGTCGACCGTATAACAGACGAGAACATTGCCCCGGGTCGACCGTATAACAGACGAGAACATTGCCCCGGGTCGACCGTATAACAGACGAGAACAATGCCCCGGGTCGACCGTATAACAGACGAGATCATTGCCCCGGGTCGACCGTATAACAGACGAGATCATTGCCTCGGGTCGGCCGTATAACAGACGAGAACATTGCCCCGGGTCGACCGTATAACAGATAGAACTTTAGCTAAAGTAGTGATAAACCCCCATATTGTCTCCAAAAATGTGGAAAAATTAAATCAACGTCACCAGGTCCAGACAACCTTCATCCGCGAGTGCTTATGCAACTGAGCTCTGTTATTTTTCTACCACCGTCCGTAACCTTCAACACTTCAATACACACTGAATCAGTTCCCGGAGAATGGAAGAAAGCTAGTGTCACAGCCATTTTCAAAAGGGAGAGCGCCAATCAGCCCGTAATTACAGACCTATTAGCTTAACTTGTATATGTTGTAAAGTACTACAAATAATTGTAATAGAAACCATAATTAATTACCTGCAGATCCATAATTTTTTCAGCAGGAAACAATTTGGATTCATCTAAGGAAGTTCCATTATTGATTACTGGATGGACATTCTTGATACAAAATGTTGCATTGATGTACTGTATTGTGACTCTATGGAGGCATTCGACAAATTTCCCCACCAGCGACTCATTCATAAAATGAGCATGTACGGTTTTACCGGTAAAATTACGAGCTGGATAAAAACATTCCTTCTAAATCGCATACAACGTGTAACGTGTAAATGGAAGATGCATCATGCTGGAAGGAAGGAAGTAGTGGCATTCCGCAAGGATCAGTACTAGGACTGGTTCTATATTTTGATATATAAATGACCACCCAGATATAACAAGTGTGGATACAAAAACATACCTATTTACCGGTGATACCAAATTCTACCGTCTAATATAGAAGAAGACCTGCAAAAAGCACAGGTATGGAACAAAACGTGGCTCCTTTTCTTCTATCCAGATAAATGCAAAGCCATGCGGATGGGTAAAAATGACAATAACAAATTCACACATATTTTAGAAGGTGGAAAAGCACTTCCATATACCGAAACTGAGAAAAAGATATCGGAGTCACTATCGACAATAAACTACCATTCAATGTCCACATTTCTGAAAGAAAAGAAAAAGCCAATTCCATCATGGGGTGATCAGAAGAACAATGGAGTATATGGATCTCACTACATTTACAGCACTATACAAAGGTCTGGTGAGACCATATCTAAAGTATGCTAACCAGGTTTGGAGTACGCATCTGATCAAACACGTATAATCGATAGAAAACATACAAAGGAGAGCTACTAAGCTAATACCAGGAATGGCTCATCTATCTTACACAGAAACACCTCAACATAGAAGAACCAGGGGAGACATGAGAGAGCTTTATAAAATCATGTCGGGGAAATATGATCCTGAGGTGTCTACATTCATTTCACCTTTCAGTAGTACCATCACCACAAGGGGACATGTACTGAAATTATACTAACAACGAACGCGCCTTCATTACATCCTCCACCGAACCGTGGACATATGGAACAGTCTGCCATCAGAGGTTGTAACGTCACAAACTGTTCGAGCTTTTGATTCCAGACTTAATCACCATTTGAAGAACCAAACACTTTTCTATAACCAGAGGGAACCTATTGAGGCCACGATAATTTAATTTAACAAGAAACTAACATTCATATAACATATGTAAGAACATAGTATACCAACATTAAATTTGAACCACTAACTTGTATGTACCTGAAATATAATACAATGTACAGATACTTGTTGATTTATGAACTTACAATTACAGAGCTGCAACATTATCAGCAATGAACTTAATAATCATAAATCATGTTATAATTATCTTTTCATATTATTCCAGACAAGTGATTGGCCAGAAGTGCATCACGTGTCTAATGATAAAATCCTGTATTGACTTTGAGCGCGTGATTTTTGTTGAAGAAATGGGTGTTTCTAAAAATAACAATATAACGTGTCTCCAAACGAACGTACCATCCCCCTTCCGTAGTTTTTTTGTTATGTTATTTTTTTTCAGATTGCTAACATAACTGTTTTGAGAATAATAAAACAATTGTAGATTAATCGACTCGAGAAAAGATATATATCTTTCTCGGGTCGATACCATCATTGGACTGCGTCCTCGGTTAACATATCTTTTCTCGGGTTGATAAATCCAGGTTTGCACCTCAGCCAAAGGCTATAATTGAATATTGTTACCAATAATATCAACCAACTTTAATTTATATATTAGAGCTGACAGCAGTCAGAATCAGATCTGTGTATTTGTATCTGTGTACATGTATGCCTTCTTATAATCATATTATATTCGAGGCATTATTAATAATCTACTTTATTTACCTAAATATAGGTCAAATATTTTCAGAGCGATCAGCCCAATTATAAAAACATAAAAACCACGGAACAGTTAAATCTCACATATGGTGGACTGGTGGCGCAGTGGATTGCGCTCTTTTTATCACCAAGGCGGCCAGGGTTCGCTTCCCCAATCGGACGTGAAAAGGTTAGGGGTCACCTGCCCAACCACTCGGGTTTTCTGTGGGAACTCTCTTACATTAAGACACATTAGAGGATATTTAATGGTGTCTTCAGTAATGAGTGCGCAGCACGAGTGAAAAAACCCAAAGTATTAGCCACACGAGTGAAATATATTTGTTATTACTGAAGACACCATTAAATTTTCTATTTATTACATTTATGAAGCATAAAACATGAAATATGTAATGCATTAAAAAAGGGCGGGTATCAGAAGCGTAATAATTAGCACCGTATTCTAATGACGTCCCGCCTGACAACAAGGCTGCACGCTCTTTTGAATGGGATACTCAACGCAACTCCGACGTTTTCTGCTATTTTCTTGTATGAATGCCCAGCAATTATTATTAATTGTATATTTATGTAAATAATTAAGTGTGTGAACCAAACATTTGCCATAACAACTACTTGTTCTACCGTCGCTTCATTTGAATCTGAACAAAAAAATCGTTGCCTTTGAATTCAGCGAATAGAAGGTACCGTTACGATTGGTCAATACCAAAAAGAGATATTTTCACTGTGTGAACATATCTCTTTTGATATTTGTCACAGTGTGAAAAATATCAATTTTTTCAAGTTGATATCCAATATTTCACTGACAAAAATGTAATAAAACTATACATTAAGTCTATATACTAACTTTCTATATGACTAAGGTATCGCTGCAACTAAGTATTGGCTGGATTGATAAATCCCGATTAATTTAAAATATATATTAGATTCCTCAACAGTTTTATAATTGATGTGTTGAAGATTGTATTTGATTGAAATGCATTTTAATGGTCCTTATTATCAACAAAGTTCAGGGTCCTACTTTGGAATAATACTCTGTCAAGCCTTTCTCACACTAGGACTTGTAGAGTAAGAGGAGTTGTATTTAAAAAGCATTATTGATGATTGTTTTGTAATTTGGTCACATGACAAAACAATTCTTAAAGAGATGTCTAAAAGTTTAAAACATGTTATCAAATATATCTATTTATCTCATTTCCCTGTGTGTAAGATAGAGCTGTCCAGGGATTTTTAAATTTGGCAAAACCCTCGGCTTAGAGTCTTATAATATACCTTTGTACACATACTGTGTATCGCCCAGTAAAGAGAAGTATATATGGAAACACTATTTTAAACAATTGTCTTTACTGGGCGATACACATTATGTGTGTGTGTGTATATATATATAAATATATATATGTGCGCGTGTACCTCTTTCTTATCTTTGATTGATGACGTGTGTGTTGCTGGACCTTTGGTGGCCTTGAACTTTGGCTGGACTCTGTCGTGATCCATTAACGCCTGCATGGTCAATTGTTTCTCTGCGGACATGTTGATGTAGTGTCATCCAACGTAACCTGTAAAATATAGCCGTGTTCGTTATATTAGGTGGTGGCTTCGTTAAATTAAAATAAACTGCATCTGGAACATACAATGTATACTGGAATAAAATAGATATCAATGCTGGTGGGACGGCGCAGTGGATAGCGCACATGCCATTCACCAAGGTTCGATTCCCCGATTGGACTTGAAAAGGTATGGGGTCACATTCCCGACCATGTGGTTTTTTCCCGGTTACTCAGGTTTTCTCCCACAGAAGGACCGCTGCGCGCTGACATCCGAGCCAACGATTAAGAGTGATAAATATAAGTTGTAAAAACTTGTTTCATAATTGTTGTAAAACAAATAAAGTTTATGTTTAAAATAATGTTATAACGGCGTAAACTGTACAAGATCTAGATATTCTCTGTTCCGTCTACTACTATAGTGTTGTATATATAGAACACTGTAAGGTACAACATTGTCATTGAGCTTTGTACAGAAATTTGATAAATATGCATACTCTACCGTATTGTACATCATTGTAGTATACTTTTAGTTTAAACAGTATTTTATTCAGTATATGGCAGTGACAAAATATTACAAAATCAACAGAGAGGATTCGAAAACAAGTACCTAAGTACTTATATTAATTCGGCTCCTTATTAATAAACCCAGCAGTGGGACGGCACTGTTACATATATTTTGATAGTATAACAGACAAAGAGAAGAAGAAGAAATCAGGGTGGAGGGTGGAAGGGGTGCATCAGGAAATGAAAGAAAGTGGTTATGAAGAGAATAACGAGAAGAACTGCATTACTTATTGAATCTGGTTGGAATGTGATTCATGAAAAGGTAAGCCTAATGAGCTCTATATAAGGATGCATTAAATACATTGGACATCTCTAAATTGCTTTACGTTGATTCCAATCAAAAAGTATACTGATATCCTGCAAAATGCAAGAGTGTTGTAGTCTATATTAATTCAGTATCAACAAAACTCATTAAGTCTAAATATCATACTGGCATGTCACAAGTTTTGTCGAACAACATAGGTTTCAAAATCAATGTACATTGTTTAAACAAACGCAATAATTACAAAAAAAATAAAAAATAAAATAACATAAATAAGTCTTGCACTAAAACCGTTTCGACTTACAGATACATTTTTGGACAGAGTCAAATATATTTAAGTTGTATTGATCTGGCATATCAGGATTTCCATACAGCAGCAGATTTAAATTATTCCCATGAGGAAGATTTCTAAATAAGTATACTTTTCATTTCTATTCTGCATATATCATATTATATTGTACAATATTTTTGATTTTTAAGTTTCTCTCTATACTTTTCACAATAACGTACAACATTATAATACGACTTGTAATGTACCTGAATGTAGCGACATGAATTGTACATGTTTGTAATACATTGTGCATGTTTATATCAACCTGAATTGTTCATGTTTGTAATACATTGTGCATGTATATATCAACCTGAATTGTACATGTTTGTAATACATTGTGCATGTATATATCAACCTGAATTGTTCATGTTTGTTATACCTTGTACATGTATATATCAACCTGAATTGTACATGTTTGTAATACATTGTACATGTATATATCAACCTGAATTATACATGTTTGTTATACATTGTACATTTACATATCAACCTGAATTGTACATGCTTGTAATACATTGTATTTTGTGTTCTAAATATATAACTTAGTTCAGATTTTAAGAAATATTTTACCGAGAGGGCTGATGCTGAAAAGCCACAATTTTTATATGGCTATTCGTTAACTAGAGGACTGGTTTTGTGACAACTGTGATCACATTATGTTAAAACATACATAATTATTCACTTTAATTTTTTAGGCATTGGCATGTAGCTACTGGATAAGTCACTTTCAGTTTTAAGCCTTGGCATGTAGCTACTGGATAAATCACTTTCATTTTTAAGCATTTGCATGTAGCTACTGGATAAGTCACTAATATTTTTAAACATTGGCATGTTGGTATTGGATAAGTCACTTTCCTTTTTAAGCATTGGCATATAGCTACTGGATAGGTCACTTTCATTTTTAAGCCTTGGCATGTAGCTACTGGATAAGTCACTTTCATTTTGTAAGCATTGACATGTAGCTACTGGATAAGTCACTTTAATTGTTTATTCGCCTTCACTTTAAATCATTGGCAAGTAGCTACTGGATAAATCACTCATATTTTTAAGCATTGGCAAGTAGCTACTGGATAAGTCATTTTTATTTTTAAGTCATTTTTATTTTTAAGCATTGGCATGTAGCTTCTGGATGAGTCACTTTTATTTTTAAGCATTGGCATATAGCTTCTGGATAAATCACTTTCATTTTTAAGCATTTGCATGTAGCTACTGGATAAGTCACTAATATTTTTAAACATTGGCATGTTGGTATTGGATAAGACACTTTCCTTTTTAATCATTTGCATATAGCTACTGGTAAGTCACTTTCATTTTGTAAGCATTGGCATGTAGCTACTGGATAAATCACTTTCATTTTTAAGCATTGGCATGTTATTTCTCTTCTATGAATGCTGTAGTGATAACTGCGAGGTCATCAGCCGAGTCAAGTCTGCCATAGCGATCTTGTCTCAGGTTTATGATAATCAAAGTTACATGATAATTTTTGACATGATCCTGTGGGGTGCAACGTTCGACCAGATGCCACATGTAGTGTCGCCTTTGACTCATTACTTTAACTGTAAATATATATGTGACTGTCTTTGATAATAATAAGTAGCTGATTTAAGAAGACAATTCCTGGTAATTCTTGTATTTTCTTAGAGATTTCTAGCTAAATCGGCCTTTGTGATTTTATGTCTAAGTATATATATATTTTATTAATGTATCACATCCCACCAGAGTTGATTCTCTGTCCGAGTCTGCCCCTCGAGATTTTTATAATTAATAGAATTATTACGCTTGACTCCCCTAATATGAGGAGATGAACAGCATTTATCACAATTTGTTTGATACTTTTTGGCGCTAGGAGACTAATTGCTTCCCCTTTTAAACAAGCTTTTATTTGGACAGAGATTTATTTACATCGCACTTTTGCGTAGTAACTGTCCGTAGCGGCACATTACGTTTAATTCTAATCGGTTGTCAATATTTTTTTCAATATCACCATGTATAATCGTTCGATTGTTAGCGGATTAAGGATAAATAGTTGAAACTATATTTGTATAAAGGACTCTAGGAACTAGAACTGGATATGGAATACATATAATTACATTGTATCTACTAGCGGAACCGTGATTCCCAGCATAACATGTCAGACTACAAACATAACAAATACGACTACAAACATAACATGTAAAACTACCAAACATAACATGTAAGACTACCCAACATAACACAAAAGTCTACCAAACATAACATGTCAGACTACCCAACATAACATGTAAAACTACCAAACATAACATGTAAGACTACCCAACATAACACAAAAGTCTACCAAACATAACACGTCAGACTACCCAACATAACATGTAAAACTACCAAACATAACAAGTAAGACTACCCAACATAACATATAAGATTACCAAACACAACATGTAAGACTACCCAACATAACATATAAGCTTACCAAACATAACATGTAAGACTACCAAACATAACATGTTAAACTACCAAACATAGCATATAAGACTACAAACATAACATATAAGATTACCAAACATAACATGTACGACTACCAAACATAACATGTAAGACTACAAACATAACATATAAGATTACCAAACATAACATATAAGACTACCAAACATAACATATAAGACTACAAACATAACATATAAGATTACCAAACATAACATGTAAGACTACC